AAAATGTTTTAAAATTACTAATCTCCTATTGTTTTCCAGGTTTAAAAAATTGTCCATGGTGAATCTTTCCTTTCCACTTTGTACATTTTTACAGAGATGGTAGCAAAGCAAGTGATCGCTCTAATGGATGCTCTTTCTTTTATTATAAATGAAATCACACTCCTGCTGATTCTGTAAGGATTCTTCAGCACTTTTGCTTTCCCTGAGAGAGCAATAATTGATCACTAAATCTTAACATTACCACACAGGACAAGGAGACAGTCTCCAGATGCACCTGCAATGCTTTTGCTAAGTTTAGCTTTTCAAAAGGTGATATAGATTTCAAACATGTTATTATAGTTTGCATTCAGAAGCAGAAAGCTCACACAAAAGGCTGAAAAGGGAATCATTTCAGCTTCACGTAGAAAGCTATTATCTATATCCAGGATTCCAATTAAGGAATGTCCAAGAAAAACAACAGTGTTGGACGTAATAGTGACCATTTCTGATTAGCCTTCAAGAGCTGCATGTTTAAAGAGCAAAAATAACAAGCCAGAGTCATATTCTATGAATTCCATAAAAGTTATTTTCAACATAAGTCTATATAAGTAAAATGGAGCTGAGAACAGGATGCCCCTAGACTGATAAAATGAAATTATTTTGCTCTTAAGTATACTGAAGCACTACAAAGCTTTTCATTTTACATTACTGAAATAGAGTGTGAGAACAAAAGCACAGGTTGTTGGGGACTGCATAGTGTTTACACTGCGCATATCACTGAACTGACATTCATAACCAGCTCTCAAATACTAGTTACTCAGTTTGTCAGAAGATGAACTACAACTAAAGATAGTAGTGGGTGGTTAATAACCATATTAGAAGTCATAATTTCAAATGATGATTGTGGAGATTGTGCCTGTGCTTCCTGAGGGTTGGGTATACATTAAATATTAACCTATCTTATTCAATTCCTTCAGGAACCCACAAAGAAATATTGTTAATTATGTTGTGAAGTATATTCAATTTCATGTCCATAATTACAGAACTGATAAGGGATTACAGTTGAGGTTAGACCCAGAAATGGCCTTCCTACAATTTCCTTTTGAGTTTGATTAGTTTACTTTCAAACATAGGGGCATTTATATAAAATACCCAATATACTTTCATAATAAACTTGATAACATAATAAATTTGATAACTTCACAGCCCTGTGACGTAAGCCATGATTGTTATTCATATTTTAGAAATATGAAAGAAAGTTGAAGCAAGGTTAAACTGGTTTTAAAATTCATAGAACTAGTTATAGTTAATTGGAATAAGATATTCAGGTTTTCTAATACCAAACATTATGTTGCTTCAAATATTTCACCACATAAAGTGTTCTTCATAACAGAGGCTCTCAACTTTTCTTTAACATACCTATTTTTGTTGTAAAGAACTGGGTTTGCCATGTCAGAAATAAAAGATAAATTTCTTTTAGAACAAAATTCATGTACTTGCTGATAGGTAACATTTAAGGGAACAATTACAGCAGTACTGGTAGCACATCTTATTGCTAAGACTTCAAATTATATTCAATATGTGCTTGCCTAACTGTGCTATAAGATCATTAATCTGTCGACACAGAGACCCACACTGATCAAATTGCAGAGAATAAGAGACAGAGTACTCAGCACTAAAAGAACAACTGATATCACACTCTCTCCTCCTCCCAAGGTCCAGGCATCATTGTGGAAGAGGAGATCAAAAGGTGTAAGAGACAGAAGCAGCGGATGATGACAACAAGGTGATATGTTCTGGACACAACAGGGCAGGTACACATATGAACTCACAGTGGTTGTGACAACATGCAGAAGACCTGTACAAACCCGAGCCAGATGAAATCGTATCATGGAGGCATGAAGCCTCAGCCTAGATGAGAAGATACTGGCAGTTGAGAGGCAGATTCAGATTCCCTTAAAGGAATCTGATACTGTGCTCCAGGGGATAGACCCCCACATGGGAGTATTTGGGGAACAAAAATTGGATTGGTAGGCTTTGAAGCATAAAGTGGGGAACAGGGAGAAGGAAGTGGGTCTGAAAGGAGAAATCATGCGTGGATTTATTTTAGTAAAGTAGATCATTGCCAACAATTCATGCTTCCTATATGTTGGTTACTAGAGTACAATTTAGTTATGTTTCTGTATTTATTCTTGTTTAGTATTATGCATAATAGAATGATTGGCATTTACACCCCCATTTTCACAGAGGAAAATTTTAAGAATAATATTCACGTTTATTTGATACCATAGCACAAAAAAGTGAAAAATCCAATTTAAAGCAATGCTTTTAACAATCATAGTTCCAAAGATGATATGTATAGCCACGTGCATGCATATACATTCATGCATATGATATATACATAAGCTATATACAAATATGTATACAAACGTATTTATATACATCTATGTACACATATGATTTCACAGGACAAACTTGGAATGGATAACGTGATACTTCAAAGTAAAAGCAGTCAATTAATAATCAAGAAAGACTTAGTCCTACATCAGCCAGCCAGCCAGCCAGAAGATACATGGAAGACTTGTGGCATAATAATCTCTTCATTAAACTGCTAATGTCCCATTCAGCTCAAATTATTTCAAACCTCACCTATGTGGCTCTTCCTTTGTCTCAGGCCCAAATCACTCTCCTAGATTCCTGTTTCTCAGGCAGCAAAATGAAATATTTATCCAAAAATATTGTGGCCTCATAGGGAAAAATATATTTGCACCATTCAGTATCCACTAGAAAAAATCAATATACTATGGGTAATGATGTGATATGCATAATAAAGTTTATTTATTTTATTTTTCAAACTTTCACTTATTGTATGTGTGTGTGTGTGTGTGTGTGTGTGTGTGTGTGTGTGTATGTGTGTGTCCACATCCACGGCGGAGAACACATGTGGAAGTCAGAACCTGCAGGAGCTGGTTCTCTCCTTCCACCATATGGGTTCCTGTAATCTAACACAGGTCAATCAGGCTTGGAAGGATGTACCCTTACACACTGAGCCATGTTGTTAGCCCACATAATAACTCTAATAAGATATTTTTTTATTTATAGTTACAATTGAAAAAAAGTCAATGTCAGATATTTTCTTACACAAATTCAGCATCCATTAGATAAGAATTATTTTGTCATTTAGTATATTATTATGATATATGTAAAGAATAATTCTTAGACTTTCAAATAACTAAATAATTAACTTAATAGTAATTAAGTGATTCAAATAAATTTCAGAAGAATATATCTCCACTTTTATAATGACAGGAATTCTATACTTCCTTATAATTTTAGGTAGTTTTCAAGATGATTACAAGAACATATATTGCCTTTTAATTAATTAGATTTTAAAACCCCTGAAAATAGTGCATCTTACTTTTCTAAAAATGAAAGAATAAGACTTTAGAAAGTTTTTGTTTGACATGCTTTTCTTTGTTACTATCCTAGATTCCTTAGTGAATATCTTTAATCCTTGCAAAATTCATTTTTTCTTTTCTTTACTTTTTTCAAGTATAATTAAAGCATTTAATTTAACTTAAGTTAAACAACTTCAGGAAATGTTTTAGTTTCAACTTACATCTTCAAATAGCCTGTTTATATACATGTATAAAAGAATACAATAATCAGTAACAGTAGAAAGAGATGTTACTTAAAAAAGATGGAGGGGCTGGAGGAATGACTGAGAGGTTAAAAGCACTGGCTGTTCTTGCAGAAGACCTGGGTTTGAACCAGGGCTAACACCCATATGGCAGCTAACAACCATTGGTAACTTCAGTTCCAGGGGATCCGATGCCCTCTTCTGTCCTCTGTGGGCACTGCATGACATGACTTACATACATACACACAAATTTTTTTAAAAATAAAAAAAAATGGATTCGTAAAATACAACCACTTAAATAACTCTCAGTAGGACTTACTATTCACTTAAGTAACTTTACTGAAATGGTATCACTAAATTTATAGGGCACACACTTATGTACACCTAGTTTTAGGTAACATATGTTATACATTTCAATTTCCATGGAGATTATGGATCCCAGTCTATTTTATATAATTATTTTAAATGATAACCCTTGAAGATAAGGATATATGAAAAAATATGTGAATAGAAAAAAAGGTTTTAGATCTTTATTAAAATGTCACCTTCTGCTTGGTGAGATTTCATATCTGGTCTGTCTTTTTTATGCCGTCATTACTGTATGCATTAGGAAAATCCCTTAGATGCACAAAAAGCACAGGTATGATAACTGCAATAGGCACAGGAAACACTGTTATTCCCAAGATCCTCTTCAGCCCATCACACAGTTTACCATTCATCAAAAAGATGGACTTCTAGTCCTACTTTCAGTGAATGGGCAGATCCTTGTTTACAGCTCACAACTTTGCACTCTGCTGTAGGAAGAGGGCAAGAGGCTACATGGCAGTTACAGCAGGACAGGCACTTTACTGAGTAATTAAGTACTAGTGTTTTTGGAAATGTTTCTAAATCTTTAGAAGCCAAATGAGCTGGGAAAGCCTTTTCTAACATGGTTGTCTCATCAGAGAAACACTACATAAAGTGTCTACCACTAAGCTAGGTTTGCTTCAGGTCAACATTTTGTACTTAAGAAATGGCAAAACAAGGCTCATCCTGACTATAAAAACTGCTTTCCACTAAAAACAACATCTTCAGGTAACAGTATGTACAGATTAAACTTCATCTTTCCTTGAGTGGATAGTTTCATTGTGCCTCAGAGAGATTATTGCCAAGATAAGCTATCTTGAGGAGAGAATTTCATCCAAATAGATACACACTTTTCTCCAAGGGCTGCTATTACTTTTGGAATTCTAGCGGTCCTAGAGATGATGAGCACAGCTAAAGGTCTACAGTTACACAGATGTTTACTAGGTCAGGCTCTGTAATCTGAGTCACTTAGTATAGGTAAAGGCCATTCCCACTTGGAAAGCTTCCTCCACGTAGGAAGCTTCACCCTGACATTACCGAGGTGAGGCAATGGTTCACTTTCGGAGATTTTTTTCAGCATGTGCCGACGTAGAGAACACACTGCCGATGGAAACGCTGCAGTTTGGCCTTTTATTGTCATCGTCATTTTCTCCTTTTCTGAATTTCTGTCTAAAAATATACCTTACAACATTTGTGGGAATTAACTGAGATAGTATGTTCTAGCAATTAATAAAGATGGAATACCAAACTCTCTATTAACATAAATTGTAGCTAAGTCATTCCCAGTGTCACTCAGTATGTTACAGGTATCACAGATTGTATCAATAATGTATATTTGAAACACACTGTACCTTGGGCTGGGGAGATGACTCATTTGACCCCAGTTCTCATGGAAAAGAACTAGGAGATAGATCTGACAGCACATATGTGCAAATTCAGTGCAGATAAGGCAAATACAGAAAGATGCAAGGATCCCTTGAGGCTTGCTGCCCAACCAGTGCAGCCAGTTCAATGAGCTTCAGGTAGAGTGAAAGACCCATTCTTAAAAATAAGGTGGTGAGAGATTAAGGAAAGCATCAGACATCAAACTCTAGTTTCCATGCACACACATGAACATGTACACATAGAACACAGATACACAGACACGACACGACACACACACACACACACACACACAGCAAATACCATATTGAATTACTCTATTTGATCAAATAGAGTAGAGAGATGTCTCTTTGCTAAGGTGTTCTTTGCCACATGTGAGGTCAGCAGAGCCTAGTCATATATTTGGCAAGTTGACTGTGAAATGGTTGATCTTCTATCACTGCCATGTCAAGACAGGCCACTGTGTAGTGCTGTTTCCTGGGACACATAAATATTCTCCAAGACATCTCAATATGGATAAGACAAGCTGCCTCACACAGATACTGTGTTGCAGTCTGGTAAGAACAAGATCAACAAAGCTCTTAATGCCTTGATTAATAAACATCACTGCCAACATACTGCAATATCCAAAGCAACTCAGAAAGAATGTTATAAATTAAGTAGGAGAATTATCTCGTTAAAAAGAATAGAACTGTTTTTTTAGCAATCTATCCTAGCAAGGTGATCATTCCAACAGTTTTCAGAGAGGATTTACATGGAAAAGTCTTTAGAAGGTCTGCTTTTAGGAAGAAAAAAAGAGAAATTTTAATTAATGGAAGAAAGGAAAAGAAAACTTTTGATTAAATATCTTTTCTATGAATTCCTTATCTATAAATGTAGGACATTTGATATCACCATATTGACACATTTTTACTATTAGAGAATAGATTTTATAGCTCTGATAACACAGTCTTCAACTTAGGATTCCAAGAAGTATGGACATATCTCTTTGAAATCTTGACCACAACACTCAGGATACCTTCCTGAGTTAATGTTAAGCTAGCGTTGGGAAGAGCTGCCATTACCCAAACTGGAAACAGTATCTTCAGATCTTTCAGATTCTAAGAAACATAATAGGGCTCACAAAGGAAGAAGAGCATGCTAACAGTGCAGTAATTCTTTGCTCTGGCTGTCAAACATGATGGGGAGTTGAAAAGCAAAGGGAGCTTTTGGATAATGGAAATAACCGGTGAACCTAAATAAAAGCAGAGTTGTTATTAAACGTGAAAGGAAACTAGACTTTGGTGATATTGTTTCGGGAACTATCTTGCATCAAGTCCAAACATCAAGGAAAATAAAGTCTAGAAAAATATATACTTAAATATTATTTGAAAAGATTTTAAAGGTCTTCAGAGTTTCTGTTGTCAGTATCAGATTTTCTAACAACACAGAGCGCATGCCCTCAGTACTTATGTTGATTATGACTTGCAGCTGTTTGAGAAGTTTACTTTTGTGTTAATCACCAATTATCCCATGAAAGCCCAGATTTTTTATTTATTATTGTTATTATTTTATGTGCATGAGTGTATTGCCTGCATGTATGTGAGTGTATCTATGTCATGCAGTGCTGCTGAGGTCAGAAGAGGGCTTTGGATTCCTGTGGAACTGGAGTTAAGGGTGGTTAGTAATTGCCATGTAGGTAGTGGGAATCGAACCAGGGTCCTCTGCAAGAGCAGTCAGTGCTCTTAACCGCTGAGTCATCTCTCCAGCCCCGAAAGCCTAGTTTTAATAAAAAAACTCAAGGTTTTCATCCACAGCCATTTTGATACAGTTGAAAGCATCCATAAGCCTATGAGCATACATGAGCACTGATGTAGACGTATGCACATAACAGAAGCTATAGATGGCATCCACCTAATAACCCCTTACTATTTACAATGTTGTTGTAGTCATTTATGAAATCACAGTGTAAACAATTAGTAGTTTTCAGAAAAAAAAGTAAAGTTCTTAAGAAAGTTTGATGCTATGATGCTGAGGCTTCCATAAATTTTCTGGATCATCTTGGGGTGAAAATAGAGGGGTGTGGAGATGATATGTTCTGACATCTAAGAGGATTGAGCAACAGTTTATCTATTCCAGATGTAAAGAATTTGACCTGGCCTCTTCAAGCAGGTCATTAAAGTTCATGCTTGCTGTACTGGGTGCTGCTGTGTCTAGAAAGAAACATCGTTATAGTAATTGCATGAGGGTGACAGGACGGTGGTGGTGCAGTCTTTTTATCTGCAAAATGTCAGTCTTTATAGAAACAACATTCAGTTGCCAATACTTTAGCATCTATCTTCCTTAATGTAAAATCAATATTTCAATATAAACTAATTACAATGGGCATTAAGTAACAAAAGCTTCCTGCCTTTTCCAGTGACTTGTAAATAAAGGGCTGTTCAAGAACAAGTCAGTTGTGGGTGAATGCTAATTGGCTGTCTGCAGTTTATAATTTTTATAGATTGCATCATTTATTTGATGTTATTATTTTAATATTTGGTTGCTAATTTGCAGAAGCACCATCAGGTTCAGCTAAAATACTGCATCTGGAGAACATGGAATCCTACAGATTCATCAGCTTTGAATATTTGGGAAAATGGGCTTCCACATAACTTATTAAGCAAAAAGGAGAGCCATGGATATGGGCTTGGCTGGTGAGAGTACCTGTAGCCCAAGTAGAGGACACGAGTTCAAATCTCTAGCACCTACCTAAATAAGTTCGGATTGACTTCCTTTTCCTGTATCTCCAGCACTGTGAAGGCAGGAACAGGAACATTGTGAGGGCTTGTTGGGTGCCAGTCTATCTCCAGGGTCAGTGAGAGACACTGTCTCAAAAGAATAAAGGAAGATGTTGATAGAACAGGACATCATATGTCCAACATGGGCATCTGTATCCACATATGCATGTGTACATACATCAGATACACCCCCCACACACACAAAGACTGAAGAAAACAGTATGCATACCACAAATGACAGAACTCTCTTAATTCAAGTGGACTAAGCAGAAAGCGTTGAAAACCGCCAATGCTCTATGAAGCCCTCCCTCCAACCTTCTACCTCAATGACCATCCAAATTCTTGGACATGTTGATAAATGTGTTAAGATGATCAAGTCTGAAAAATTACCAAATAGTAGAATATACATTAAAATATGAACACAGCCTTGAGTTGATGAACAATTAAAGTGAAATTCATATGTCACACACTTTTCTTCTTTTAAAAATTATTTTCACTCTATCTGTATGTGTGTTTTGCCTGCATGTGTGCAAGTGTAAACGTGTTGTGCAATGACCACAGAAGCTGGAAGAGGGCATTGGAAACTCTGGATCTGGAGTTATGGAGTTATGGACAGTTGTTAGCCATGTTGTGGGTGCTGGGAATTGAACCTGGGGTCCTCTGCATAAACAGCCAGTACTCTTAATGCTGAACCATCTCTCCAGCCCCCAATATGCTATTTTCCAATGTTTGAAATTTGATCATTTAGTTCTATAGGATGTGAGTAGCATCTTCCATTAGGTTCCCATTGCTGCTAAAATGAATTTCTTCAATAAAGTGGCTTAAAAAGTGTGTATTTTGTCTTACAGTTTTATAGTCAAATGTCCACAGTAGGTCTCAAAAAGGCAAAGATGTCAGCTCAGCTACATTTCTCTCTGAAGACTCTTGGAGAGAGTTCTTTTTTCTCTGGTCTCTAGAGCCTATCTACAAGCACGGTACCATGAACCCCTTCCTCTGTCTTCAAAACAAGCAGTGCTGTGTGTTTCTGACCCTTCTTCCACAGTCACATCTTCCTATGATGACAGTTGGAAAAGGGAACAGGGCTTATCAGCGTACTCCAGAATTGTCTCCCATTTTACTGTCCTTAATCTCAAATGTATCTGCGGATTCTTTGTGCAGGAACATTCCAGGCACTTGTATATGCTTCAAACACTGCCTTACAGTCTGAAGTGGGTACATGGCAAAGTGAGAAGGATTACTGCCAAACATGAGAAGTCTGCCTCCCTTCTTTCACTGCAGGGGGGGGGGGCGGGAGAAACTGCTCCCCTACCTTTCTGGATCCCAAGCTAGCGCTTCTTAAATGCAGACACCAGATGAATTTGCAGCTTTTAACTTTTACCCTTTTTAATAAGAACAAAGTAGACAAACGTTGATTATTAAAAGAAAGTATACCACTAAGAGCAGATTACTTCTAAATGATAATTCTATAGTTACTTCAGTAACATTTTGAATGCAAGTATTTCAGGTATGAGTTTGTTACAATACATGAAATAATTGAAATGATTTCAGTTTATAATTTTTGGTCTTAAATTATGTGAATTTTTTTAAAAGAACAGTTCTCCCAAGACTTGCCTCATACTGCATGCTATGAGCATATGAAATTATTTCATTCCATAGGTGTAGAATTAAAGTGTGCTTTGGAACCTATTTGCATTTCAAATGACTGTTAATTCAAGACTGGATGGTAGAAAAGATATATTATTCTCAAAAGAGTTGTGTTGCTAAAAGAGAGTGACTTCTCAATATTTTCCAGGGTTTATGATGTTTTAGACTTATTTGCTCAAAATATGCCAGTTTCAAAAGGGAAGGAGGTTATTTAACATGCATTTGACTTCCAGTGAAGGCACAATAAAAATGTGTATTTTTTAAGCCATGAAAACTTCAGAGATTGACTTAATACTGCATGTGGTTGTTTGAATGAGAAATGTCTCCCACAGGCTTGGGTATTTGAATACTTTTTCTTCAGT